ATCTGTTATGTTAGTATGTAAGAGCATTTTTTCCATTCCCCCAGTTTCCCCTTTCTCTCTCCTATTTTTAATTCCACATCATTAACTTACATTACTTTAATAATTCCTCACACTTTCCCTTATTTTTTAATGGCAGACCCAACATGTCATAAATTTATTTTATCTACATAATATTTAATTAATAAATCAAAATAATTTTTTTTAAAAAGTAACTTAAATTTATGGAGTCTATTTTTTAGTTTTTAGAAAAATATATATGCCACAAGAAATATTGAATAAAAAAATATTTACTGTAAAAAAATTTATATCATTATAAAAACATTAATTTTTAATTTTTTTCTCTTTTTCCCTCTTCTTTTTTTCTCTTTGCTTCTTTTTCTTTCTTTTTTTTGAGTACTATTGACTTGATTGCAATGTAGTATCAGCTCATACAATGGGCCAATGCCTCCGCCTCTATTGGGGTTCCAATTTGGGTGAATTTCTCTATGAATATTGGGGAATAAGCTTCCTACCACTCAAGCCAAAAGAAAAGTTCTTTTTCTCCCATTTCGTTCTTTTTCCCCGACCCCTCTCTCCTTTCCCCACTCCACTGTAGTCATTCTCCTCATTTTAGTCTCTTCCACATCACCCTTTCTCATACTTTCCCTCCCCATCAATGATGCTCTAAGATCCTTGTGATGTTTAAGTAAATGCCACACGAAAGTAATTGATGAGTGAAACAATGAAAGAGACAAGTCCCAATGAAGATAGGTGAGCTCTGCGGATTAAGGGCCTGTTTGGGAATAGAGTTAGCTATTAGCGTTAGCGTTTTGAAAAAGCTATCTACGGGTAGCGTTTAGCGTTAGCATTTTCAAAGTAATCTGCACCGTTAAAATTTTATCCAAAACGCTAACGCTAATCTCTAACGCTATTCCCAAACAGGCCCTAAAAGTCAGCAACCAGTCAATTGTGAAAAATAGTTTGAAGCATGATAAGGCCCTTACAGCATGTTGTATATCTATATGTGATTTGCATATACTTCTTGATCGTAAAGCTTACATGTGGTTTGTCTCATGTACAGGTCCTAAGGGTAAACACAATGGCTTGCAAAGACTAAGATTCCGTTTGGTACACAAAATTCAAGTTATGGAATTGAAGATTTCAATTCCAATTCTACTGTTTGATAGCACATATGTATGTGGATTGGGAATTGGTAGTGCATAAAATGAATCAGAATGAGAGAACTAAATTTCATCCAATTCAATTTCATAGAATTCAATTTCATAGAATTCAATTTCGATTCATTCCAATTCTATCAATTTTGTATACAAACCCTAAGAGATGGTGGATGGTATGTAGAAATGGGTTTATGGGAGTGACACTTTGTAACTTTTATTTTATGTTTACACTTTGTTGAGATTTTATGTTAGATGCTTTAGTGACGGGAAAATACTTAGTTAAAAGACACTAAATCAAGATCCATATACCAAAATAGATCCTTTAATGTTTTTATACCAAAATAGAAATTATAATACCAAGCAATGCCAACATATTATTCAAAAAATGTGAAATGCCAACACAATGTTACCAAATTGTGGTGTTTATCGTGCCAACATTTTTATTTAGAGGATAAATACATACTTGCTCTGCCCATAAATAAATTTTTTGATTTGATGGAGCGCGCGCATTGAGAAAAGCAAAAAAATCCTTAACTTTCCAAGTTTGCTCTTTGGCCTTGGGATAGATGATAGAGTATTAAAGTAATAAAATGAAATGCAATAGTATTGATTTGATAGATAATCATTACAAATCTACAAGTACGTTTCTTTAAAGTAAATGTCCAAACCAACAAATAATACTACACTCTATTTTACGTTATACTACAGTTTCATTACCCAAATTAACCAAAAAAAAGAACTTTTCCTCCATTAACTCAATTTCTCATCCAAATTTAACCCCTCCTAGGCTATAAACATTCTTTCCTTTTTTAGATAGTTGCTATAGCTTTTCTTCTTTACACACTATATAACTTTCTTTCTTTGTTGCAATTTTCTTCCTTTCTTTGCTTTTCTCCTCCTGCCATGTGAGAAATGCTTTCTCCTTCATTCTTTCTCTTCTTACAGTGAGAAAGAGCCTTTGTTTTTTCTTTTTCTAGAGTTGCCTTTGATGCCATATCAATCTCAAGAATGGATCCATCAATAAATTCCTACACAAACAGTGCACACACTTTTCAAGAACACACCGTCTAAAAGGATAAAAAGGCTATCAAACTCAGAAAGACAAGGAATAATTGACAACTTGTTACTACATGCACAAACAAATTTCAGTGGCACACAAACTACTAAGAGGGGTTCCGTGCGAAATGCTGCTGCTGAGTTCAATGTTAGTAGAAAAAGTATTAGTTCGCTGTAGATAAAACCTAAGACACAACTACAAGCAGGTTTTTTCATTGACATAAGTAATTGAATGCCAGGAAATTAAGAAAGAAGAGAGTAGGAGTGGAGTTGGAATCCATTTTAGAAATCCATTGTGGAGGAGAACCACAATTAGGGCACTAGCCTCAGCAGTGGGATCTGCAAGTCCACAACTCATAACTGGGAGAAAATAGGTATTTTACAAAGCCATACTAATGCATTTAAGCCCACACTTAATGATGCAAATAGGAGCCAAAGGTTGATTTTCTGTTTGCAGTTAGAAGCAGCGAGTATCCTCTCAAACTTTCAAAGGTTGTTAAAGCGTACTGCGCATTGATGAAAAATGGTTTCTTTTGATAAAAACATCACAACGCTGTTACTTGACCCTAGATGAGGATGAGCCTTACAGAACATGTCAATCTAAGAGATTTATCACAAAAATCATGTTTTTAGCGGTTGCGGAAAGACTTGTAATTTCTGATGTAGATGAAGTACCTTTCTTGCATATTTATAAACCTACGACAAACAATTTTTTTCTGAGTGTATTACAATTGCTACATTTTTTCGTGAAAGTTTATCTGATTCAAGTTCTTGAATCTTTTCAAATTCAAGTTCTTACAACTTAAGAACTTACGAATCAAAGTGCATAACAGAAAATACTCTTCAAACAAGAGCGGATTTGCTATAGATTACAACTAACGTATAGTAAATGGCACATTAGAAGTCTCTAAACTCCAAATGAAATAGAGTAGGAGGATGATATGATTGAATAGAATTCTTGAATAATCAAAGGGGTGTTTATTTCAATGATATCTTGGTGTTCTCATGTTTGAAAAACGAGATTTGCAAAGGTTATATAGGGATAGAATAATGTAACTTCCAAAATATTTGAAAAACTGACTGTTTGACAGTTGAAACTGCCAAACTAGTCGACTAAATTTGAATAAGTAGGCGAAATTCGAATAAGTAGGCAAAATTCGTAGTTACAGAATCCAAGACTTATTCAACTAAGATTGAAACTATTCGAATACAGCAGGGTGAACTTTATTACTAGAGAGCCAACCATACCCAAATAGTTTTAGATTTATTCGAATAGTTTAGAACAAAGTTCAAAGTGTAGAAATGGAAACTTATTCGAATAAAACTAGATTTATTCGAATAAAAGTTTGAAAATGCCAATCTTTGAAAAGATTTAATAAAGAACTCAAAAACCATTTTTAAGAAAAACTTTTTGAAAGAATGAAGGATTTGGAGAATAAAGAAATGTGCCATACTCTTTAACAAAAGTGTTAAGACACAAGAAAAACAAACAAGATCTAGAAAACCTCTACATCTTCAAAGCTTGACTTAATATCCTAAGAAACTTGTTAAGCACGCCAAAGCATCATCAAAAGAACCATAACATGTTTGTCATTGTCAAAATACAAGGGTCAACAATTTGAACCCTTATGTGTCTCCCATGAGGGATAAATTATGTGCTTATTACTTATATATTCCCGATATTAATAAGTTTTGTATTATTTGTGATCCATGCTTTAAGACTCAAAATTTTAAAATTCTCATGGAGTTTTTTAAAATTTTAAAAATTTGAAATTCTCACAAATTACTATAGTTCTTTTTTTTAGATGAAAATAGTTATTTTTATTACCATTTAATAGAATAAACAAAAGAAAAAGATAATGTTATTGATCTTTTTGAGTCCTTATTTAAGGAATTTTAAGTTTTATACGGTACTCCACCAGAAGAAACAATATAATAGTTCCTCCTGCCCCGAAGACAATAAATTTTTTTAAAAGGATAGTCGGTGGCCTCTTGGCGAAAAAAGGGAAGCATAACTCTTCGTCGATTAGTACAGATCGTACAACTGCAAGTTCGTACAACAAACTTGCAATGTACCAAGGCTTCCCATGCAACTACGATGAAGACAACAATAGCGAGTTCGACGTCCTCGAATGATGGAAGCGGAATGAACGCATGTTCCAACTAATTGGAATGCTAGCCAGATAAGCAGCTACATTCTTACCGACTACCGATGTGGTCTTAGCACTGAATCGCTTGAGACACTTGTTTGCAATCGAGATTGACTCTTGGCAAGGCGTCGAGCACAAGAGTCAGGCTACGACATTGATACACAAAATTATATGAAATGTAACCACGGAGGGAAGTGGTATTTATGACGAATAACTTCATATTTTTTAAACTGTAATTAGTTTTTTTAGGTGGTGATTTATAAGCTCTTCCGATAGTTTTTTTACAGTTTTTTTATCTCATCGCTTTTTTGAACTGCCAGGATATTAAATGTAATTGTAGTATTCAACTTTCATTATTTAGATAACAACTACATTTTTAGAATTTATATAAAGTTATATATAAATTTGTTTTACATTGCATATCATATTATACTATTCATATATTAAATCTAATAAAAAAACTAAAACCGAGAACCTGGCCGGAACTGGAAACTGAACCGCCGTCCCATAAGCCAGGAACCGGCTACGGTTACTGTTGGGAGGGTGCGGGAACAGGCGGTTCCAGAACCGACCGTGTCCACCCCTAGCACTGATAGCAGAAATAAAGTAGTTCTAGTGTTTTAGGTTCCAGCACAGGCGGCGGCGATTGGCGGAACAGCGTTGCAGCCGGACGCCGGGCTCAGAATTGCCTAGGAAACGGCTGCCGAGGTCAACAAAAGGCTTTGCGGCAGAGAGAAGGCGAGAATGGACTTCCTTCCTCCCCATAAGGTAAATTCTTAACCCCAATTCAAGAGTTTTTTTTAAGGCAAGTATATTAGCAGAACTTCTAGCCTCTAGATAACTGAAACAGGAGTGAATTTTTGGTTCAAGAGTATTTTCCACAAGGCTAACGCCCAAGCAACACCATGATTTTCTTAGATTTGGAAGAGCAGTGGATGTGTGTAGATGGAGGACAGTATCAATCAGGGGATGCTGCAGTTTAGAAATATTAGAAATTTTAGTGTGTTTATGTGTGCTTATAAGTTCTTTTTTTACTTCTATAAGATTACTTTGTTCTAAGTTAGAAAAATAAATACTCGGGGTATGTCTTTTCCACTTATTTTTAAACCAATTTTTTCATTTTTCACTTTGAACAAATCATTTGCTAAACAATCCCTAACATTTTATAAATATCTCCAAATGACTAATCCCTCATTTAAGTCACTTAACTCACTTTACAAAAAGTACTTTAACAAGCAACTTATAAGTTAAAAACTGCTTATGAGCAATAAGGCAATAAACACTAGTACAGAGAAACACCCTCTTAGAGCTGAGAGCTGGACACACACACAATGTTTGTGAAGGTAGAGATCTGGTCACACACACAATGTTTGTGAAGGTAGAAATAGTTCAAACTGTGAGAAGTTAATGAAAAAAAGTTTCACTACCCTAAGCCACCCCATACAAAAATTTCCTAATGAGCTGGATGATATTGCTACTTCACAACCAACAGTATTAGAGTTTACTGTATTCACTAGCCTCAACTCTCATCAGTCATCACTTCTATTGTTGTCATTGCCACTGCTACCAGCCCACCACTTCTGTTGCTGGTGCAGTAGCAATACCGTTAGCGGGGATGTTACTTTAAACAAAAGCACAACACAGTAGTCTTATTATCTATATAACTCTGTATATAGATATCTTATTTCATTGGTAAAAATATATTTATAAACTGACTCTGTAATTAGTATGAAATTGTTGTTTAATATTTAGTTCCTCTTTTAAAATTTGTATCTATAAGCACGGTGTTTATGTAGATAAACCAAACTGTATTATTGGAGAGGGGGTTGGGGGGTTGAATGGGGAACCAGGGGACTACTCCCCCTTCCCCATCCAATACAAATGAAACCTTTTTTAATTAATCGATCATAGTATTATCATTTTTAAATTTTATTTTCGAAACCCTGCTTTTCCTGATGGATGAAAAGCCTACCCATCATTTCCGCTGTGGATCAGAATTCTCTCCAAACACCTAATCGCCATTATCATTCAATTTTAACGAGTATATAATATCTTTGTCTTTTCTTCATGCCAACTCATCATTTGTAATCCCTACTATACTCTTGATTGTTAGTCCTTCATTCCAATGTTTTCATTTTTTTCCATTTGCTTTTTCCTTAATATTGATGTGCATATCTGTTCTTAAAGTCCCTGTTTAGGTTTCTGGTCATAGTCTGGCTAGAGGACACCTAGCAGTTTTTAGAACACTGCCTATACTATGAAAATTCTAATAATCTTCACTAGTTTTTCAGAAGTCATTTTGTAGGTTGGGTAATTTGGTTATTGAAGATTAAAGCTGTTTGATGATTTGACTTAGAGCTCGGGTGATTGGAGAGAGTAAAGTGGGGAATGGGGTGTCTATGTAGGGGCAAATTTCATCATGTTCAGTGTTTGGTGTGTGTTAATATAATAAAAAAATACCCAAGTCAAATTTCTCAATGTGTGGGTCTTTAGGGGTATTATTTGATTGGAATGGTGTTTTTTCGTGCATGCATAACTGAATGGAGAGAGTGGATAAACCAAGTCCTTAATCTGTAGTCATTATCCTATTTTATCTCCAGAGTCAAATGTGATTCCTTTAACTTCCCATCCAATTCAACGAATTAACTCCCCATTTATCTTGTTAATGAAGAGATTGTCTGCAAAATACATGTTTTCTCATTTTGCTAATAAATTTTGCAGAGCCCTTGACTGTGACGGATTCAATTTGGTCTCCAGAGTCATGTTTCACCGGCAGAAACAATTTTTGGTCTCCCTGTTTTCTCTTGGAGTTCACAGTAATCGTTGCATATGCTCATCTTATCAATTAAACCCACTAGTTGTACCTAAGTACTGCACTTATCATCTCATAGCTCCCCCGCTACAGTCAATGCTTGATGATAATCCCGCAAGGCCTTTCAGGCTTGGGTTTCCTACCATTGGAATTTATTCTTCACCTTTTACTTCCTCAAGCGACAAACAACTAGATAATGATTTTACTGACAGTGATGAAGACACCGGCGGTCGTTTAGTCCATGGAAGTCAAGTTTTTTCCAGTGGAAGTGTTGAAATAATAATGGGTATTTTACAAGATTCAAGGGAAAATGTCTCTCAAGTGAATAAACAGCTTGAAGAATGTGAGGTAAAGGTCATCCCCGAGCTAGTATCGGATGTTCTTTCAAGGCTATGCAATGACTGGGAATTGGCATTCACATTTTTTATATGGGCTGGGAAGCAGTCAGGTTATGCTCATTCTGTGCGTGAATTTCACTCCATGATTGCTATACTTGGGAAAATGAAGAAGTTTGACACCGCATGGGCATTGATTGATGAGATGAGGGGTGGGAGGAACGGACCATCACTAGTGACTCCACAGACACTCTTGATTATGATAAGAAAATATTGTGCGGTACATGATGTTGGAAAAGCTATCAATACATTCTATGCACACAAGCGGTTTAACTTTGAAACCGGGATGGAGGAATTCCAGAACTTCCTGTCTGCCCTTTGCAGGTACAAGAATGTGAAAGAAGCCGAGCACTTGCTGTTTGCTAACAAAGAAGTTTATGGTTTGAATACCAAGAGTTTCAATATCATTCTCAATGGATGGTGTAACATTGTTGGTAACCTGCGCGAAGGGAAAAGAATCTGGAAGCTGATGAAGAACATGGGGATTCGACGTGATGTTTACTCATATTCTAGCATCATGTCAAGCCATTCGAAATCCACCAATCTTAATGCAGTACTTGCGCTCTTTGACCAGATGAAAGAATACGGGATTGAGCCCGATAGGAAAGTATACAATGCAGTAATTCATGCTCTTGCAAAGGGAAAGCTAATGGAAGAGGCTCGGAATGTGATGAAGGCAATGGAAGAGAAGGGCATCCCTCCTAACGTGGTTACCTACAACTCGCTGATCATGCCCGTTTGTAAGCTTCGTCTATCAAATGAAGCCAAAGAAATGTTTGATGAGATGACACAGCGAGGCATAACTCCAAGTGTACGAAGTTTCCATGCTTTCTTCCGCATCCTGAGAACTGAAGAGGAAGTTTTCGAACAGTTGCATAACATGCATGTGGTGGGCTGTCATCCAACGCATGAAACATACACCATGCTTATTAGGAAGTTCTGCCGCTGGCAACAAGTTGATATTGTGTTCAAGTTGTGGGCTGATATGATCAAGAGTGGGCTTGGTCCTGACCGCAGCTCATACACTGCGCTAATACATGGACTTTTTCTGAATGGAAAGCTCGACGATGCGCACAAATACTATTTGGAGATGAAAGAGAAAGGTTTATTGCCAGAACCAAAGATTGAAGAGATGATTCAGGCTTGGGCTGCTGGTAAGCAAGCATCAGTGCCATTGACGACAAGTTCAGTGGAGAACAGAGTTAGAAGCCCAGTAAACAAAGTTGGTACCAAACCCCAAAAAACGGATAGGGGAAAAAGTTTCCTCCAAAACCCTGAAAATAGAGTGGTTACAAGAGAACGTGGATTCTCCTTTTGGGATAAATAGTACGGACACTTGTTAAAATGCATTTCAATGCAGGTAAAAATTTAATTGGAACCTTTCTCACCCTGTTTCTATGTGTCACACAATGAAGAGTTAGGAGGAAATCCATATTAATCAACACATATGCATGATAATGGGATGAGGCAACTGCATGAGCTGAAGAGCTATCCAAACTTAACCCCCTGTGTTTCATGCTGTTAGGTATTGTCACTGTTGCCCCTTGTGTATTCTCCATATATCTTTTTTATCACTACTCAATATTTGTTAGCTCAGCCAAATGTACGAAAAAACCTTTTGCGGGTACCATTTGTTACCGTTTCCACACTAACGGTATCCTAAAATTTTGCACGTAAAGGATGTTTTATTACTCTTTGCTGGAGCTTGAGCGCGTGATGAAGCAAACAGATTAGTACTCGCGAGTACACAAGTACTCATGTGGGAATTTGGATAAAGATTGATCGAGATCCCTCAAGTATTTCCCCCCTTCACTTCAAATTATATCATTCATCCGGATGTTCGACGATGGCTGGCTGCGATAACGTTAGGGACCTGCTCCAACTCTAATTTCTTCAAGTTTTTTTCATCTTATTCAACAATTGGTAACCGTATATTTGTCAATTTGTTTTTCTTCTCCAATTCCTTTGTAAAAGTGTGTTTAAAATTTAAACTTACACCTTTTTTTCCTTGTTTGTTTATATTTTGAAAAATTCCAAAAAAGAGTGTTAATGTTATTTTTGGATTTTTTTTGAATATTTATATGAAATCCATTATGAATGAGAATTGATACATGCTAGTTTTGTTCAATTATTGAGTATGTTGTTGTTGAATTGGTTGAATTGCATAATTTGATTTCATAAGAAGGTTGGTATGTGAAATTCGGTTTTTGTTGAAGCTATTTTAGCTCCATAAAGTTGTTAAATGAACTCCGAATTCATACGTGATTTTTTGTTGTGATTTGTGTTTGTTGATTTTAAGGATTTTGGACTTCTTAGCTCCATAAGTTGATTCATTTTCCTTAGAATTGTGTATGTCTTCGTGTGTTTGTTTGTTGTTTTCATAAAGTTGAGGTTGTTTAAGCTCAAAAACAATTCTCGATTTATTGAAAATATATGTTGTGTTCATCTATGTGAATTGAAAAAACTTCATTCGTTTGAGAAGTTCATGGAAATCTGTAAAATGTGCTCATCATTAGGAGTTAAAAGTTTTTAAAATGCATAATTTGTTGGCGATTTGTGAATTGATTATGTATGAGAGTTGAATGCATAATAGATTCTCTCTTTTATAAATTTTTTCTATAGTGAAAGCATGTTTTCATGCTTGAATAGAGAGTCGGGGTTCAAAAGTATATTTAAAAATGGGCCTTTGAATTAGATGACTCTGGGCCGTGTAGAGAGTTGACAATCCTCCGTTTTATGGTTAAAGAAATGAATCGACTCGGTCTTTGATTGATTTTTCCTATTCTTAAGTGTGTAAGTTAGATAATATATTGTTTACGTGCTTATTCTACGTGTAATGATTGACTTCTGTTCTTTTTTTTATTTTGTTCCGGGTTCTTTGTGGTGTTTCACAGGTTACCTTAGTTGGAGAAGTTGATTATTTTTTGAGTTTGTTTTGTCCCAATTTATTATAAAAACAAAAAAATAAGACAAATGTTAAAAATAAAAAAATATTTATTTTTATTCAAGCCCCCCTCCCTTTTTTGTTATGTTTAAGTTATAGTATAAGTTGGTGTTTATAAGTTATTTTAAATATAAGTTTTATACTTTATTTACTTTTATATACTTAAGTATGTGTTTTCTTTTTATAAGTTGCATTATAAGTGCTTTATTTATATAAATTATTTATAAGTTTTTATGTTTATTTAATTATAAGTTTTATTATAAGTTCTATAAGTTCTTATCATATGTCTAGTAGTTAGTTTGTTTTATTTTTTAATTATTAATTTTATTTTGTGACAATGTGTATATGTTATTAATTTTATTTTCTCTATGGGATCACCCTTACTTGCCCTACCTATAGTTTTTATTTGGTTATATCTTGGGGTTAGTTAATGATTGTTTATAAATTTTTAATTTGTTTTGGACATCACGACGGGTCCTCAACAAATGATAATTTTAGACACATAGGTGTTAGAAATATCATGTTCCGTGATTTGATCAAAATTGGTGTGATATCGATTGAGCTTGTTAAAACTCAACACAATTTAGCTAGTCATTTAACTAAAGGGTTAAGGAGTGATCTCGTACAAAATTCGGCTAAAGGGATGCGATTAAAGTCCGTATGATATCTCTCATGTTAAGATACCCAATTCCCACTTAATATGACGTTAGTTGCAGAATTCAATGTGGAACGCTTAACATTCAGAGATTGGAACACAATATTAACATCATCTAGGGGTATGTGTTCAAAACAACAAGTTAAAGAGGTTGAAGTATATCTTCTTAATGGTTCTTTTGAAAAATTGTGTTTGCAGGTACAAGACATAAAAGAACTACCTATACGAGCATGAAGTTTAGCTGCTTCACAATGTCTGGACTTGACTTTTATATACTTGTTGAAGGATAGAGACACAAGGCTAGTAAAATATGGTGTCAAGCTTAGAACAAAGAAGCACTTTGAACTTATGTGTATATTATCTTCATGTATTCATATGAATTGCAAGGGTTCAATCTTTAGAGACATCCTGAAATTCGAATATTTGAAAAAATGTAATACACTAAGATGAAAGTTCAACCGTCGCGACATTTTTATTTTTGCATAAGCTTGTTGAATTTATTATTATCTCAAGAAAGTAGATCATGGATTACACCAAAACAGGGGAGGAATGTTAGTGATTTTAGAGTCACCGACTATTTTATGTGATTGGGTTTACATAGATTAGACAAGAATTCAAATAGATATTGTCAAACGAGTTAGGAGGCGCAGAGTGCGTACTCGTTCAACGATACTACAAATTCATAGCGGGGTCTGGGGTCGGCAGCCCCCGGTAGCTGGGTCCAAGGGACAGAGCCCCTAGCCAGGGTCGAGCTGACTCGTACAGCTTGGAAATTTTTTATTTTGGACGTTATTGCTTTTTGAAAATCCTTCAGATTTTTTTAAAGGGAGTTCGAAAGGGAAAACTCGCGCGACACTTTTGTCTTTTAACAAAAATTCGGTTCTCTCCCTGTTGCCCGAACGTTCGTTTCCTTACGCAAATGTTCATGTCTGGTTGCTAAAATCTTCAACTTTATAAAAGGAGTCGCTGGGTATGGTTGAGTGTAATTTCTCGGAAGGCTTGTTCTTGATTAACGTCTTATTCGGTTAAAGTATTTTGGTATATATCCCGAAATAACTTTGATCTGAAAGCGTATTCACGATTCGTTAAACTATCAAGTTGTGATTCTCGTTTTGTGTTTATTAATTCTTCAATGCTGCTTCGCAGCATTCATCTTCCCAAATTTCTAACATTATATGTGCACTGTATATTAAATTATTTTATGTGAGTTTGTGGTATACTTGGTGTACATGCAGTGTATAAATTTTGGTACTCCTAGCACAACTCAAAAGAACCAAAAGAGCAAGGCCGTGGGAAGAGAGATGAAGCGGTGGCGACTCTTTGTGCGATGTTCATGGGCGATGAGTGACAACAATCTGAAGAAATGGAGGACAACTCTAAGAATGAAAGTAAGATACACCATAGAAGAGAAGGGGCACAACTTTTTTGTCAATTATTTGTTCAACCATTCTAGGGGTGTATCAAAAGTGTACCCCAAAGAAGTGCACCAATATTTTAATGGTTCATACAGGCAGAAATTGTTAGTTCAATTAAAAAATTTGCACGGACATCTTTTATCAAATCATCACACTAACATCATACTAGCATAAAATGTTGGTGTATGTCTTTGGAGTACAAAATGAGATACAAAATTTGGTATACAAATACTTAATCCTTACTTGTTCCAAACCGAAAATGACTTTCTAATTTCAAAAGCACAATTTCAAGTAAAAATTAGCCTTCACTTAAACAGAAAAATAGGGTGAATTAAATAAAAAAGAGCCAGACAAGAATGGAATCCCTTGAAGCAGCGGCGGCGGACCCTTCTGAGCCACATCCGAACGACGGCGCAGTCTGCAACGATGATATTCCGCAGCTGAGCTCTCACGCTCTCGAAGCTCTCAAGGAGTTCTTTGCCGATCAGAACCGAGCGTTAGCAGAAGAACAGACGGAGGGGGTTGTAGAGTTGGTGGCGGAGGACTGGAGGCTCAGCCAGTTTTGGTACGACCGCGATACCGCAGAGACAGTAACCAAAGAAGTCCTCACTCTTTGCGAGACACTGGAGACCCCATCCGTTGCTTGCATTTCTTGCCCAACTGTATTCGCGTACCTCAAGGTACAAATTCATTTATGAAAATCAATTTTTTTTCAGAATGCTGTATCTGTTCACTATGAAAATCAATTTTTGATAAAACTATTTACAATTTTACATGTATTCATATTTCTTATGGAGTAGTTATAAAATATACGGAGTACTTAATAAACTTCACTTAATTACCTGGTTAAGTATATAAATATCTGATATTTTTTTCTTTAATATGTCTCAACCCAACAACTACACCCTCTTGAACGTTAAGATTATTTCGGGCAAAGTCTTTGAACAACAAAGATCTAAAATTGATTAATAGGGTATGCACAAACTTTTTATTTTTCCAATTTTTCTTTCCTTCCAAAATTTGTCTACATTTTCTTTTTTTCCATACAATTTTCTGGTTCCTAATGAACCCTTAAAATTTTTAGGAGAGGACCCGATGTAGAATAAAAAAATGATTAACCCATCATTGAACTAAACATTTTCTTGAAATGTTTCATGATATGAACATTAATCACATGCTTAACTGACATTTGGTTTTTACTGCTCATGACCTCAGAAAAGTGATCCTAATGTCCAAGCACAGCTCCTTGAGTACGACCAAAGGTTTAGTTCATATGGAACTGAATTCACATTCTATGACTACAACAAACCAGAAGGCCTTCCGTCCTCATTGAAACATTCTTATTCACTCGTTATTGCCGATCCTCCTTATCTGGTAAAATTTCATTTGCTTTTTTCAAAATAGTGGTTAATTATGCGTTGAGTGGCTACAATATTTGCTAGGACCATATTCATTGTAGGATACCATATGACCTAGCATTAGGATGGTTTTTGTGTCGACTATAACTCAAGTGTTGATTACCACGAAAAATGTGTTTATTGACTTGCTTATTCAGTCAATGACTCAATGTTGCTCAATAGCCATCATCTTTTGTTTTGATCACGTCATATCAGTATGCATCCTTTCAGAAGATCATAGTCTCTCATCTTCCAGTATTATCCCTGGGTGTGTCCTCAACATACACCTCTAATGCTTGGATTCTTGACTCTAGCACATCCAATCACATATCTTTGTGTCTTTATTTTTTTCATTGACATCTGAACAAGGAAACTTGCCCTTAATTACTCATGCAAATTGACTTCAAAGTTCAAACATCTGCCACTGGAATTGGAACAACTCTTTGCAAACATCTTTACAATTGTATCAATTATATCTGTTCCTTTAAATTTATTTAGCCTTGTCTCAGTAAGCAGAATTACACGATCTCTCAATTGTTCCATAATGTATTTTTGTAGATAATGTGGTTATACAACACCACTGCATCTGGAAGACAGTTGTCGTCGGATTTGATTCTCAATGAATTTATCCCTTTTACTTTTTCTAGACCCTTCACAAGTGTTTCCATTGAGCCAGCAGTTACATTACATAGCCCACTTGTCACCTTATTTTATTTTTAAATTACAACGTATAGTACCACATCTATCAAGCATTTCACCCTTTAATTGTGAATCCGGTCATCTTGGAAAACAACGCTTCAACATTTTTATGAAGAGCCAATAGACAGGCGACACCTATATTTGATTAGCACACATTGATGTGTGTGTCGATAAGGGTTATGTCTACTTTGAGATTTCAGCTCTTTGAGCCTACACAATCTTTATTGAATATTGATGATTTTCCCAATATGTCTGGAAAAGTAGACATGGGTCTTGCTTCCCCGCCCCAAGTTCCAAGACCTGATCATTTTGAAAAGGGATTGAACAAATATTAGGCTATAAACAATAACAAGTAGTAAATAAAATGCCACACGCTAATGTGATACATTTCAACCAATCAAAAGCAGTCCAGTTACACAGTGGTAAGTGGTGGAGTGGCATGCTATGCAGTAGCAAGTCATTGTTCTTGTCATTGTTTACATTTTTCAAATCATATTTTAATTATTAAAAATTATTATAGTTATAAGCGAAGTTGGGTAGGCATTTTGGGCTTAGTGGTAGTTTTCGCACTTGTTGTTGTGTGCTTTTTATGCTTTGTGCTTTTTGCTTGTTTTGCTCTTCCTTAATTAAAATCAATCTGTTCCTTGCTTTTTTTGTGCTCTATGCTTGCTCTGCTTTNTCTCTTGGATACAACCTCCTTGTTTTCAAGTAGGGTTAAGGTCTGTGTACACACCTACTCTCATGGGATTCAACTGAGTTTTTGTTGTTGTATGTTATCATAAAATACATCTCCTTAAAAAATTTCCCTTTAAAATACACTCCCTCTGTCCAAAAGTTATCTTCCCGTTTACTATTCACACAGTCAAACTTTATTTACTTTGTTGGCCTATTTGCGTTGTTTATTTGATAAAATAATATAATTATGTCACCTTTAGTTTTGTAGATCTTTTGATGTAGTTTTTAAATGTATAATTTTAATTTTAAAATTCTAGACCATTTTTCATATAAAATGATTTGAAAATAACTTCAGTCAAATATCGTAACGCGCAACAGGAAGATAATTTTTGGACGGAGGAAGTAATATTTAAAAAACGGGTGATGGAGTGCCTCACGCTTGCCTCACAAAGTGGAGTGGATCGCGACTTGCCACTCAAGATCGCCTCGTGCCTCACTCTTCGCTTGCCACTAGTGGCTGGGCAAGGCAATGGAATGCCTTGCCATTTCTTATGCTTTGCCATTTTTGATGCTCTTAAGGCCCAAAGTTCACATCTTGGACAAAAAGAAAAGCCCATTTAATAGATATATCGGGCTTGGGACAAGCCTTCCTAACTTGACCTGGCCCAAGCACGAGCCAAGTTTATGCACTTTAATGATATACAAAATAAAAAATTATATATGCATGTGAAATGTGAATTTATTACAAGGTTAAATCAATTATTTCACTTAAATTCTACGCTATGACTACTTTTTTGTTACATTTTTTTACATTAGCTTAAAATTAGTTTTCAGTTTTCATTTCGACTTCTTTCTTGGGAGTTTGTTTTGTACCATGATATAATCTCTCTTGATCATGACAGTTTAGGATCATTACTCCTAGCAGGTCTATCATCGATGTCTCTGCCCTTCTTTATAGGATCCTGAAATTTTGTCAATTGATACTCTTTCACCTTTTATTGCAGTTCTTGACCATGATGATTTGTCCATTGCTCTCAGAAAATATGCACATCTCGTTCTTTTAACTCATCCACTATATGACTTCCTTAACTATCATCATGTCACCATTTCACATTTTTCATTTCTTTAACATCTTTCTAGTGCAACAATTCCAAAAATTACTTATGATGCTCTTTCCCATCCGGGGTAGAGACATAAAATGTTGATAGAGATGGGCACTCATCATTAGAGTGGTACTTGGGAACTTCATCCACTACCATAGGGAAAGATGATGGTTGGATGTTAATGGATATGTACAATGAGAATTAGCCATGATTGTGAAATTGATCGCCTTTTTGCCAATATGTATTTTTAAGATTATGGGTTGGACTATAGCTAAAAGGGAGTCTATATTATTTTATCCATGGCGACTATGAGTCACTACCTTCTGTTTCAATTGGATATGAAGATGCTTTTCTTCATGATGACATATGCAAAGAAGTTTATATGGAGCAACATTTAGTTATGATGACATATGCGTGATATGCTCCGGTCATCTTAGTCTTGTGTACGGATAGCACCATTTTTATATGGTTTTAAACAATCACACTTGTAGTGTTTGGATGATTCAACATTGCTTGTCGGGCATTTAAGATAAGGCGGAGTGTTGTTTATCATTCTCTTTTCATTGACATTTTGCGAATTACAAATTTATCTATGTAGTAATTTATGTTGCAACTTTACATATGATACTAGACATAAATTGCTACATAGAATCATTATGTTATTGGGAAAATGTCGATAAGAAAAATGATTAACACTCAGCCTCATCTCAAATACCCAAAAATCAATGTTGAACTATTTAAGCCAAGTAAATATGACTGTTTGAAATAACATAGGGATCAATACAATTTGCACACGGGAATGAGCACCATAATCCGGTGGTTGCTTTATATAAACTTCTTCACATAAATCACCATGAAGGAAAACATTTTTGTATCTAACTGAAATGGTAGACAATGACTCATTGTCGCCATGGATAAAATGACTCTATTCTGGCTATAGAGGATAAACTATCAGTACAGTCCAACCAATAAATTTGAGAGTACCCTTTGGCAAAAAGGCGAGCCTTAATGCGATCAGTTTAACAATAATGACCAAATTTAATCGTAGAAATCCATTGACATCTTACCATCATCTTTTCTTTGTGGTAGTCGAACAAGTTCCCAAGCATAACTAGACTATAGAGCATCCGTTTCTATAAACATTTCATTTTCCATCAACATTTCATGTCTCCACCTTGGATGGGAAAGAGCATCGTAAGTAATTTTGAAATTGTTAAAAGAAATGAAAAATGCAGAGTGGTTACACGATGAAAACTAAGGAACTCATATAATGGTTGTGTTTTAAGAGTAGAATATGCACATTTTCTAAGACCAATGGGCAAATCATCATGTGGAGGAACTGCAATAAAAAAAAGGCACAATATCAGTTAACGAAATTCCAAAACCCTGTGAAGGAGGAGGACGTTGACAATGATGATACACTTGCAAGGGACAATCTTGTGGTAATGAATCATGTAATGGTGTGGAGTGTTAGGATGAAGAGATTGGATAAAGGTATAAAACAACCTCCGATAAAAAGGGTGTGTAAGTGTTTGATGAAGTGCTTGGAGGGTAAAAAGTTGACTCTATTTATGCAACATTTGATCTTGAAAACTATTTTTTTTATAATCGTAGAATAACAATGATATCCTTTTGAAGTCAGGACTACCCAAGAAAACAGATTTGATATATTGAAAACACATTTTAGGTTGTTCGGGCATAGTGTCATGAGCAAAACAAGCGCTCCTCAATATGGAGATGTAAAGGAAATACGGAGTAATTTTTTGCCCAGGAAGAAGGCAGAGCATCGAACATCATTATGAAGGACTGAAAAGGCACTCTTTTAATGAGATAACATGCAATGACTACGGTGTATTCCAAAAACTATGGTGGTGAATTAAAATGCAGCAAAAGAGTGCGAGGAATATTAAGTTGGTGACACCAATTTTGCTCAGCTACTCCGTTTTGCTGAGCTGTGTCAACACAAGAGGATTCACAAAGCATCTCTTCAGGGATACTGCTTATGTAAGAAGTGGTCTGTTTAAGGCCAAAGTAAAACTACATTAAATGTATTATCATGATCAAAGATGATCACAAATCAGTGTCCTATTAAAGCTACATGTAATCATTTTGACATAATGATGGCGAGTTGAGATATATTCATAGTTTCATACACAATGTTGTTGATGGCAATCAGCACTTCAGCAGTACTTCTACTCATCAAAAAAGGCAAATACAATTGCAAAAATTTCTCAACTATCTATTGGTGAAATACTTGTAGCACTTCTACTCAGCATAAGTATTTATTTAAAATTTATTCAATATGTTTCCCTTAAATGCATTCCTGCCTAGTCAAATTGTGTCAGAATTGAGGATGAAGGGAATCTAAAATAATTCCTTCTACTAGCCACCAGAAGGACATTTGAGATATTTACATGCTATACCTCTTGTTATTAATATTATTAATTTATTATTATTATTAGAACGAATTTCACAATTAGAGCTGTCCATCATCGTTGGAGCTAAAGCCTAAAGGAGTCATTATTGGCAATTTTTTAGCTTTGGGCACATTAAACAAAGCAAAATGGGGAATTGAACATTCCTTGCCTCTTAGTTTCTATGATGTTTTGGACAGTAAATGCAGCAATGCATCAAGTGTGTAACAAAAATATTCGCCCCGTTCTTTACATGGGATTATACTAGGTTTGTTGGTGTTGTTGTACGGTTCTCAGTGTTCACAATTTCGGATTAGCAGATAGATTATTAGTGAGCCAATAAGACTTTAGTGGTTTCATGATATTGTGGTATTGTTTTGCAGAGTAGGGACTGCTTGGAGAAAATTAGTGAAACTATATCTTTTCTTTTGAGACCAGGGCAATCGTATCTACTTCTACTCACTGGTATGGTTGTTGGATTAATCCCAACTTGGAACTTGCTTGTGATTGATTGATTGATTATGATGTGTGTTTCTTACTCCTTTTTACTCCTTCAGGTGAAGTGCAAAAGGACAGGGCTGCACAGCTCTTGAGTTTGCGTCCGTGCAGGTTCAGGCCCCAGCACAGCAGCAAACTTGGAAACGACTTCAGGTTGTTCACGAACTACGACCCTGGGGTGAGACTTGGTGGTTGGGAGGATGAATAAAAGGCATCATTACCTTCCTTGGCCATGGATGGAGCTTTTTGAGAAGGCATTGATTCCAAAGCTTAGTTACAGGAGCATCATGTTCTAGCTCTATGTATTATTTATGCAGCTTACCGAATCAACTCACACTTTGTGGCCACTCGGTGTTTGGAAATCACTTCACAGTGTTCTCTATACGTGTTTCACTAAGAATGCCCAAGATAGATTACTTTTGTTCAATGTTTAGTTGCCGGTCTTTGGCAAATCAGAGTCACTGTCGCTACATGTATGGCTGATCTAATCCTATGGCTTCATTCACATTCAGAGCGCTCCCAATTCGGTTTAATTGACCTTGACTGAGGCTTAAAAAGGGAAACCCTTCATTTTTTTGGGGGGTTGAGCTTATATACTCTGTATTAGGGGTGTTCAATCGGATCGATCCGATCCGATCCGATCCGAAAATTCGGATATCCGAAAATTTCGGATCATGTAAAACTCATTCCATATCCGATCCGGAAATATTCGGATATCCGAAATTCGGATATTCGAATTTTCGGATCGGATCACTGGATTATCCAAAAAGTTAACTTTTTAGCCAAAATTTACAAGAAAAAAGGTAAAATAGCAAAAGCAGCCCACAATATCAAATTCAACATAGATTTACTTAATCCAAAATTCCACCACTAGGTAATGACCTAATAAAAAATGACACCAAATTTAATTTGGAAGTAACTTTGGTAGTTTGGCATAAACAAACCAAAAGAAAAACACTATACAGATAGGTGGAAGAATTGAAGAAGACGAGTAGAGATTGTCGGCAATAGAGAAGAAGGCGATGGTCGGCGTCTGCTATTTCTCGCAAGTTGCAAATGGTCGGCTTCTGCTGTTTCTCAGAATTCTCGCAACAGGCGAAGAAGGTGATGATACGGATTATTAGGATATATGGCTGGAAAAGTAAGTACCCAAATGGTAAATGGTAATTTTGTATGGTAAGGGATATAATTAGGTTTAATGTCTTAGGCCTTAGGGTATAAAACAAAATAAATAAATAAAAATCGGATATCCGATTATCCGAAAAATATTATAATTTGAATCCATATCCGATCCGATTTTTTTCGGGTATCCGATCTGAAATATCCGAAGGCTAAAATATCGGATCGGATATCCATTTTTTGGATCGAATCAGCTCGGATCGTGGACGGATATTTCGGATCGGATATTTTTGAACACCCCTACTCTGTATAGTAGAGTCTTTTCCATATAGTCTCTAATTTGAAGAAATTATTCCCTCGTTCCCAATTTAAGTTATCGGTTTACTATTTACAAAGTCAAACTTTAATTATTCATAAAAAATTACTCCCTCTATCCTAATTTATATTGTCTTTTTTGGCTTACGATGTTTGTTTGAAGTTATTTTTAAAGTATACGTAATTTATTATTCAAATATGAATAACATGATTTTGAAAAAGTGTGCTATTTGCAAGTATTGAAGAATTAGTAAATGAAATGATGAATTTGGAATAAGTGAAAGTATACGTGATTTATTATCCAAATTTGAATTAGTAAAAACAAGTTAAACTATATTCATTTAATTCTCGCGATACATATGTGCTTATTATGTTACAATTTTATTGTTATATGTACTACGGAGTATTTAACTTTATATTGAGGAAGTTGGTTATTATTTTTAGGTACATAGAATGTTATCAAGTTGGAGGAAAATGATGAGTTAGTGGAAGTTGGATCAGATGATATAAAGAAAGAAAATACTGTAATAAACAAATATGTTGTTTTGTGATATGGCACATAGCATGTTTTGTATGAATAAATATAAGTTTTTGTATGTATAGTTACTCCGATATTAGTAAATAGATTATGTATAATGCTCCAATTTTCAAAGCATCTTAGGCTCTATGAACGTGTTCTCTATTTAATTTTATTAAGGTCTGATTTAATTATAGTTATTCAAATATGTTTATGATGTGATCGAATCTTATTCTAATAAAATAAATAGAATAATGCTAGGGTGTCACCACATGAGTGTACCCATGTTTCGCACAGACAAAAATAGACACTAATCATCTGTGCGTTACAAACTACTCCGTATTAAGTATTATCGTCTATATTTGTTGTGTGAAGCATGAATACACTCATGTGTTGGCACCACCGAAATAAATACTGTAATAAGAAGTTGGAGGAACCAACTTAAACACCTAAATTGGGTTATGCAACTAATTTTGGGCGATCGAGTCTGTTATTATAGACTTATAGTCCAAGTTCTTTGATAGGGGTTGATCCAGTTTACTTAGCCAAGATCCGCTTGGATCTGACTCCAGCAAACTGAGCAAACATTCCACTTTGAGGAAGTTCTTGCCAATACTGCAAAGAGAGAGCATTAGTGGAAATCTCCAGAAAACATAGTAGCGAAATGAGACCAAACGTTGTCTCTGAGGTATGCATCCATTCATGTTTCCTGTCATTTGTACTCCATATGTAACAACGCGTGTGCGTATATTTAGATTTCAGCTTAAACATGCGGAATCTAACTATGTGGAAATGCTTGTCCTTCCGGTTTGAGCGGTTTTGAAGCCCTAATTTTTTTTATCTGCTGGACTCTATGTGCAGTATTGGCTATGGCAATTAGAATGTTTTAGAGTTTTAGTTCATATAAACTTGAAATGTATAGCCCACACTCCATTGCAATATAAACATTTAAACTTGAAATGAGAGTTTGCATTTTGCAATACCATTTTTATCCGAGTTGGATCACAGTTCCATTGACCTTCATCAAATGCGTTTGTTGGGTGGTAACGAGGTATTGTGACACAAACGTGAAGTCATTAAAGTTATTGGTGCCATAGAGCATGCCTACAGCTCCTAATTTCCCTTGAACTTTCATTATTGGGAGGATAGAGGTGAGAATTTGGGAGGAATCTCCATCAGTCTAAAATTCATGAGAAGTCTCATGGTTTACTTGCTAATTTTATGTTTCTCTTTATATTCATTTTGAAATGCGTTGCTGTTAGTCCAAAATCTAATTTTCGAGAATCTTATAAATGACTGTGGGTCGATTAGAGACTTGTTATACCTTAATTTTAAAATCCCAATGATCTTCTAATTTGTGCCAACTGAAGAGGTAAGTTAGTAAGTACGGAGTACTATGCAGCATAGGGAACCCTGAAGGTTCAACAATGCCTGTTTTGTAATAGTGAATTTTCCTTCATCCAATTTTGAGATGAACTATATGACATTGATCCCAAACATCCTCTAATCAGTAATTTAGTTTTATTTATTTATTTATTTTTATTTTCCAACCATTATACATTTATACTCACTGTGTAGGCGGGGTTGCAAACAAGGTTGAGCAGTTGGTGGGAAGGCATTCCATTCTTGACGTCTACTGTTGTTATTAGTTGTGGGGCTATTTACATGGTTTGCCTTTTGATCGGGTATGATTCATTTGCTGGAGTATGCTTCTCGCCATCAAAAGTAATTTCACATTTTGAAGGTATGTATCTACGGATATGCTCAAATGATCTATAATAATGAGAGCTCCTTGTGACATAATAATATACACCCTCCATCTCTAAAACAATTTTGTGTTGCGCGTTATGCAGTTATTTTTAATTTGATTTACTTGAAAATTTGTGTATAATTTTAAATTTAAATTTATAACTTTGAGAACTACAACAAAAATTTCACAAAACAAGGGGTGACATGAATATATTATTTTGTAAATTGAGTTAAGTAAATAGAGTAATATACAAAGAAAAAGGATGTTGACCCTGTGGATAGAGTGATCAAGAAATTCTTTTTTTGGATAGAGGGAGGGAGTATGATCTTATGAGCTACTATATTGCTAAGATGTTCATAAGAGAATTTATAACATCTGAAATCATAACAATGGCTTATCTAAATTCGTTTATAATTTTTTCTTCTAACACCTTTTTGTGCCGTTTTAAATTGAATTGAGAGTTTCTTAAGGAGTACTTTTGAAATTCATATTAATAGTATATATCTGTTGACACAGTTGACATGCTTGACCTTGAAATGCACATGTATTGGTTTAACATGCTTTGTTGTTGTGTGCATTATACATTTCTATATGAGCTGCTACGCTCAATCTATCCATCTGACCTTCTGTTGTTTGGAATTTTGTGACCTTTGATCATACTCATTAATGCAACAAAACAAAACATATATAAAGTAAATTTTTAACCACCTGTTAAAAGTATACATTGTGTGCTTATTTATTTATTTATTTAAGAAACATTCTGAATGTCAACCTAGTCTAGCATAAAGAGGTTGAAGGAGTGCTTATTGGAGGTAACGGACTATTATTAAGATTTGTTATGGTGAACAATGTCTGCTTAAAGCTATGATTTCTAATTCAAATATTCATTCAATGATTTACCTAGTTTCATAACCTGTTTACTCTCTTCATCAATGTTAAGAGCAACTGAAAACTTAGTATCTTTAAGTGAGCTACTCTAATGGCCCTGAGGTGTGGGATACAAATGGCTGATTGGAAGCAACTAGATTAATCTAGGCATTTCTCCCTTTGATTCCTCTTAGCGATCACTCTAAGGTAATGAATTTTGTAGAAGATTTGAGAAAATAGAATGTTCTGTTCATATCTCAAATCTCAAATAAATGAATACAACATCGATATCACCACAGATCGACACATGCATTGTAATCAAAGTGACACATTTTTCAAAACCGCCCAAAACTCTCACACATCCCCACTCCCTTTCAACTCCTTCATAACACCCCCAAAGATCAACTATAAAACTCCCAAAATATCTACTTCAAAATCTCTATTCCATACTCACAAAAAATATGACATGTGATTGAAACAAATAAATTGCTCTTTTAATGCATTTTAACATCCCTAATAAGACAAACCCTTAAGTGATTTCTAAGCTGCCCTTGGTTTTCCTTCTCTTTGCATTTTTTGTTTTCCGAACTAGGCATGGGATTTTTACACTAAAATAGTAGCAATAGCGACGACTCTGTCTATTTGAACTGCGAAATAATCTTTTTGCTACAATATAGGTGAGTGGGTTCAACTTTAATCTAAATCTACCCCCTCTGTCCCATAAAAAAGTGTTATGCCCCTGGCCAGCCCTACTCTAATTTGATTATATTCTCAAATAAACCCCTTGCCTAGTTTTCTACCCATGGCCGTAAATCAAAGAGTAGAATAAAAGCACCCATATTTCATGAATAATAATCATTGGTGCCTTAAAAGTCTTCACAACAGTTTACCTTCCAAGACTTTGTCATTCTACCTCACTGCTCACAT